TGGACATGCTGACTAGTTCTTTTCCTGGCAAGTTTTAAATACAAGACTAGAAATCAATCTTATAACTGAAAGCACTTTGTGTATTAGAGGCCCATAAGCTGAACAAATGAGTTTGGAGGAAAAATGAAAAAGCTGCCAGCTGCCACTACTCTGAAGACAGCATTATTTACACCAGGAACTTGACCTTCCAATGGAGATTTGAGTTTTCCCCCTAAAAAGGGGCAGGACAGCATTATTCAACACAGGTTTCCTCACCATCAGGATATTCTACTCTACAATGGCTCTGCAAGGAATATAAGTTCCAATTCAGCATTCTGGCAGTGTAAGCCTTGCTAGCATTCCTACCTGCCTGACAGATCACTTTACCATCTGCAGGCATGATTTTAAAAAAATTAACAAAAGAGCCAGTTTTTGTTTTGAACTGACGTGTCAGACCTCTGGCATCATAGGAAACATGGCAGAGCACAGACAGCTCTGTGGTTAACATCACTTTCAAATCTCATGCCTTCTTGACTAAGCTTTCTCCCCACCCATACACTGAAACATGTGGTAATGAAGTTCTGGTTTTGGAGACAGAGATATGGTGATCTATGTGTATACACATACAACTTTCATAAGCCTACACCACCATCAGGACAGGTGAGTATTGTTGCACATTTAACAGTCTTTTAGACTGGGCCCGCAAGTAATAATGACAGAAGTAAAACAAAAAACCACAAAAGATGTTTCAGAGTGTTAAGTAATGGCTCATGCTACACATAAAATAATATTTCAGATATTTAGCTAAAACATCAAAAGTGTTCAAAAAGATTACCCATGTATCCAGCACTGCCATTCAAAAAACAACATGCTATTTTGAAAGAAAAGAGGGCAGGCCATGGCAAACAGAAAGTCTCAGAGGGGTTTTACCAGAGACCATCTCCTGGAATGTGCCAGCCCATCTGAAGAGACCCATAACACCACAGCTCCATTTCTAGCAATATGCTGAACCACACGCATTGTTGGCACCCACTCATGCCTGCAGGTTCTGCAGTCCATCTTCTGATTACAATCAGAAGTCATAAAGTCCCTCCACCAGTGCCATAAAAAAATTTTAAATGCAACTTACTTCTGATAAGTTCTACATACAAATTATTATTTTGGATCCACAGGAAAAAGATTAATTCATTACTCATCAGACTATCCAGTAAATTATGTCTAAGAATTTATATTAAGAAAAGTATTTAAAAGAAGGTAAGGTTTGAGCAGCATATCTCACTCCCAAAGATACTTGATTGGAAGAGACTTCAGATGTAGTGTCAGAGTAAAATTTTATCTTTTATATATTATAAAAATAATATATATTTTATAATTAAAATAAATACATATATATAAATACTAAGAGCAGATACATCTCTCATGGGCATGTTTTTTATGACCTTTGACCTCTTACCTGCAGGGTAGACAAAGCTGACACCAGGAGAAAGAAGTTTCACCTTACTTGGAGGGAAAGTCTGGCTAAAATATGGAACATCAGTGTCCCTGGACTTTAGGGTTATAAATACAGATAAATACACTTGTACAAAGGGGTTCATTGGTGCATTTCTGCACCTAAAAAAGCGATTTTATAAGGATTCAATACGTGGTACACAAGACTCTACAGAGCCTAGACACAGTGATTTTGTGCAAGTGCACTGCTGCCCTCTTCTGGGTCAGCTCCAATTCGCTCCCGTCCTTAAAACACCCAGCAGACCCTCAAGGGGAGCTGCACCTCCAAGACCATCAGGACCGCTTTGGGAGCTCGAGATTTAAACTAGACAGGTAAAAAAGTGAAACACACACACATACAGAATGAACGCAGGAAGTTACTGATCTTTATACAAACAGAATTGCAAGAAGTCATCATCTTAATTCCTTGAATTCTACAGAAGTTTGTTCCTTTGTTTAGATGGAAGAAATTTTTCCTAATATCCACCAAAAGGGTTGTTGAGCATTAGGACAAGCTGCAAAAGCAGTGGAGTCATCATTCCTGGAGATATTTAAAACACATGTAGATCTGGCACTCAGCATGTGGTGAAGTGGCAGCCTTGGCAGTGCCCGGTTAATGGCTGCACTCGACCATCATAAAGGTCTTTTCCCATCCAACTGATTTTGTGACCTAATGCCAGAGAACCCAAAAGTTATTTACTGCATTAATAGCAGAGCCTGTGGGACAACAGGGCATTCTGAAAACTAAGATAAAACAGCAAACAGCAACTTTCACAGAAGCTTTGACTATTACTGCACAACTGCTGCAGCTCATAGTGCAGAGTAAGCAAAAAGCTACACAGACTCTTAAATTGATTTCAGCAGTATTAGAAAAAGCCACAAATTTTACCATTAGACAAAATCCTACTTTTGGTTACCCTGCATAAACCCTGGGTAATCCATGGGCCCAGGTACCCTTCCCACTTACCAAAGCTTAATGAGTTGTCTTACGTAAGCTGAGCTTTAACAGCCCCCAGAAAACACACAGCTTAAGCAAAAGAAGAGTTTAGACAAACTAATTTTCATTTTGAGATGATGCAACTAATGAACACAGGTTCAGACCCTGCAGTTCATCTGAAAGGCAACTCATTAAACTGTAGTAATCCTAAACCTACATTCAAACCTTAAAGTCTAATACTATTGATAAAATTTGGTCTTTACTGAATGTTTGAACATAATTTACAAATACATTTCAATCAACTGAATAAGTATGATCTGAACTATGTATTTAATCAGCTACAGGGGTATAAACCCAGTCCCTCAGATCAAGAGAGTAGAAAACCAGCCAAGGTGGACACAGAGGCAGAGTGCATTCCTCAGGGCAGGATGGCCTGGGCCAGTTCATGAACCAGCCCGAGATGAGCAGCATTAAATCATTACCAGCACAAGCACAGCCAATTCCACAAACCCAGAGGGGAAACAACTGGTCACAGAGCAGTTCTCCAACTGCTCACACTTCTGGCCATAAGCTTCATGGAAGCTGGCACTGCTGCACAGCTGTAGGACATCCTACAATTCCAACCTGAGTAACCTGCAAAACAAACCCTGCGCTAGGAAGGCCTCAGCTGAGTTGTGGTACATCCAGTTTTTAGGAACACGCTTCAAGGAAAGATCTGTTCTCCTTGAAAGGGGTCCAAAAAAGGAAGCAAGAATCATCAAAGCTAAAGGTTGTCATCTATAATATCCAAGTGGAATGGTATTCCTGAGGCAGTCTTCAATCTACAGAAAATTACTCAAAAGGGACATCTTTTTCTCACTTCAAATATGGAATATAGCTGCAGAGAGCAAGGTAAACTGTTTTCTATATCCACAGAAGGAAGAAGGAATAGCAGTAATGTTTTTAAACTGCAGCAATAAGGTAATACATCAGGAAACCTTTCAGTGAGATATAATAATAAATATATAATCAGAATAAATCAAATTAAAAGGCTTTAGGAAGAGGTTAGACAAACTATTGCTAAGGAACAATGTATGGGTGAATGTGTGCATTTTATTTACATATTTGTATATTTTATTCCAATGCATACATGGAAAACCAGTGATTTCTGAAATATCTTCCAGTCTATTCTTTATTAACATTCATAGTAAGTACCTGCAACACAAATGAGAAAACAAATAATTTAATACACTTCTTCCTCAATAGTAACTATTTCAGTCACAGGAATCCCTCAGCTTATAAGCAGCATATATTGGTCACAGAACCTTGAATATTGCTCACTGGGCACCAGAAATTAAACAGATGAAACAAAGCTAATGAACAAAGCAGAGTATTACAGTACTTGCAAAATATTAGACAGTCTGGACTACTACCCACAAGCCAGGAAATACCATGAAAAAAAAACTTCCTAGAACCTTGTGCATAGGTGTACCAGCATCAAATTTACATGTAAGTCAGGTACCAACACCATATAAAACCATCACTTTGTATCCAATCAACACCAGTGACAGTTTTAGCAACAGTTCACTTTTTGTATGCACTTTTCTCCTGTTACTGCATTAAAATTATTTTGTGAAAGCTAAAGACCACTATCACGAAACCACTATGAGAAACAGACCTAACCAACAAAACATGTCTTAGAATTAGACTGTGCTGGTGCTCTGACTTATAAAGACAAAGAAATAAAACTCACAAACTGTATATGCAAGCAACAGGTGATTTCTTCAGTCGTTTGTATCCTTAAGTGGATACTTTCCAAGACTATTTTAACTCTATGTATTTTGAACTTAAAACACAGATCATGCGAGTGAGAAACAAAAAAATACTATCTCCCAAAAATTACTCTCCTGCCAAGTAAGACAGCAAACTTGTGCAAAGTCTAAACATCAAAAGTAGCAAAAACCCTATTGTTTATTTTCCCAGTACTGGCATTTTTGTTTAAGTTATGAAAGCAACCAAAAAAACCTCTCATCTTTTTGGAAGCAAAAAAGCTAAACCATTATTTTTCCACAATTATTTTAAGTATAGCTTTTGTTTGTTTGTTTTAACCTTAATCATTCATTAAATTAAACTCTTTTACAACCCTGGTTATACCTTTAAAGTCCTAGATGCTAAACAAGCAGGACGGGGAACGTCACTGTACCAAAACTGCTTCAGGACACTTTAACAAAGGGTGAAGAAGAGAAGGGGTTTGTCACTCTGGCTGCAGGGGATGGATGGCAGGCGCTCCACAGCCAGGAGCTGCTCCCGACTGCTGCAGCCCGGGCTTTTCCACCCACCGTGTGCCCCAATACTGCCCACCAGTAGAAGGTTCAAAATAAGAAAAAAGTTAAGCACCAAGGGGTCTCAGCCTGGAGAGTCACTTTCAAGACATTATCTCTTCTTAATTCTTGATCAATTCAGAGCGGTTGTAACAGCTCCTAGCTGCCCACAGCCAAATTACGGCTTTGAGGGAGCCAGCGACATAAGGAAGAGGAGATACCCTTTCGGTGTCCCCTCAGAGCACACCACCTCCCAGCAAACCCCAGGATGCCTCTGCCCTGCGTTCCTTCCCTACCGTGCTAAGCGACCCCATGCGCCCCGCGTTCGTGCCCTGCCGCGCCAAGACCCCGCTCCAGCCCACACCCTCCATGCCCTCAGCGCCGCGCCCCGCGCCAGCCGCCCGCCCTCAGCCCGGCCCCGCCCCCGCGCCGCGCACGCG